CAAACAGTTTGGTTACCGGAAGAGGTATGGTTGTTGTCTATGTTAGTGCAGGCCAACTTTTAAAATTGTGCCCCTTTTAATTTCCGAGGGAATTAATGAACGAACTTGGAATAACGCCTTTGAAACAAACTCTGTTTAGGCTTTAAGTTCGTATCGATACTGTCGGTATGGGGAATTACTGAGTATTTGTATACTGCTGACTGTCTTAGCAGTTTATGAATAGTACGTGGTCATCCTGCCGAAACTGTTGAATTCCCGCGCACATGTTTATATCAACAGTCGTGCCATCCGTAAATCTTCATTTGGTCTGATTTACTTCAAACTAGCGCATTAATTTCTGAGGAAAATGAAATCTCAAAATTGGAGCATTTACCTGAATAAATGCCAGAACGCTGGGGGACTCATTGATTGGTTGGACCCCTCGCGGTTCCGTCATGCGGCGGCGCAAAACAGGCGGTATGATGAATCATTCAGAATTATGCAGTGGTATTAGGATTATTCACCGTCTTTGGACGGAAAAGTAAAGCTAACTCACTCCCACACCCCCGCCCGTTGTTAGCTTTTCTTTTTTTGTTGTTTTTTGGTCTAAACCATACTTTGATTACAAGTTGTCGAGAGTATGAGTGCAATGCTAGAGGGCGCTCACCGATCGTTCTTACGGAAGTCACGTGTTTCGTTGTGCCCTACGGGCTCTCTCTCTCTCGAGCCCAACCAGCAGCCGCACAGCGGCGCATGTTATAAGCAGTGCGTTATAACCGACAAAGACAATGGAGGCTGGAATGGCCATTTCTGGCTTATTAGCCGTCGTCAACCAGTCATACCCAACCCCGACGTGTGGAACACTCGAGGCTCGAACTTGCGACCTATTAGTTAGAAGCCCACGCCCCTAACCACTGGGCCACGAGCCCGTTGCCCGTATTAGTGTAACCTACAACTACCTTATATGCCAAGGCTTGAATTGCATGTACACACTCTTTAGAAATGAAGTTTGAGCTTTATTTCTTAATCAGCCGGAGTATGAGACCCTGTTCCCTTTTTCTGCTGCCAAACACCCTGCAAAGGTTTCCTCGAA